ATGTTGTAGTGATAAATACAGTATTACCATGCCACTCTAAAACTTAAATAAAATACAGGGTGTTCCATTTAAAAACGTTTTTACTTTCCAGGCAAAAGCGTAACACCATGTATATCCAAAAATGTTTTTAAATTATATTTTTTTTCAAATCCACATAACTTTTATACAAAATTAAAATATCAAGCAATTGAATCGGTCATTTGAGAAACAGCACATGTCAGTTTTAGATTATTTTTCAAAAAATAAGAAAAAGTGAAAATCTCAAAACATGGACAAAAAATAGTTTTGTACACTTAACGTTTAAAACTTGCTCTATTTCGGGTATAATACAATAATTATAATTTACCTTTAAATATTGTATTTTTGTAATAAAAACAAAATAGCCAAAAATGTGACATGTATCGTTTTTCAAATGACCGATTCTTGAGGGGGCGCTTTAACCCCTCAAAATTGAATAGGGAAGAGGGGTTAAGTGATACTTCATTTGTAAGGTCTTGGAAGCCTCTTTACAACGGTGTATGAAAAAAATCACATTCTTAAAAAAATTTATTGTTTTATCATGCTTACAATCAAAAAAATCAAAGATGCGTTTTTAAATCAAATGTTCAAATTGTCCTTCATTGACTTCCATATAATAATAAATTCTCTCGAACTAATAAATAAAAACAAATCAAAACATTTTCTTATCTTGCTTTCTTTTTTTGTTTTTAAAATTCAATTTTTGTTTTAAATGTGAAGTCAGTTAGAAATATATCAAGTGGGTACACTATTACCTCAAAATAACGAATGGATATTTTTTTAATAGTACAATTCATATAGACGGTTTCAATTAATTTTAGATAATGAATGATTTAGGTTAAAATTTTATTTGATAGGTTTTTTCTAATTTAATTCTAATTTTTCGGACTAATAAAGTTAATGGTTTTATTTTAAATTTAATAAAGTACCAAAAACTATTTAAAAAAAATATATTCTTGCTTAATTTAATATTTTGAAAGTAGATCAATGGTGTGCAGTTTGAAGGGGGAAATATTGATGTTTAAAAAAATATATATGCCTACAGTGTGATCACCAAAATTATTTTTCTATTTATACAAATTTTAATTAATAAATATATTTATTTTTTTTTCTTTTTCTTTTCAGTGCTTTAAAATCAATGTGTCGAATCGCTTTTAGTCCGAAAAAAGTAACGGGTAGGAGTATGTTGGAGTTGCTAGTATATACACCAATTTTACTCGGTTTTAAAATTAGTTTTTTGTTCGAAAAGCAACTCATGTTTGTTGACGTCGTCTATGCCGATGGGACACATGCGCAGAAACATAATTTCTGTCTGTTGTATCGACATAGACGATGTGGTGTATTTGTAATCGTTTCCTCTGACAATAAAGACGTTGGATCTTCAGAACTTTACACCTTTCGAATTTATTTACTGTGGAAAAAGTACGATCGGAAAATGATTCTGCAGTATTTAGTTTTTCGAAAGTGTAAATTCTGTACGGACCGAACGGACAAGGCTGCAGAAATTCTAGCCGGCGATGGTTTTACGATTTTTATTAGACTCAAATGAACTTATTTGGAAAAAATCGTATTTGGCACTATAAAATCATCCGCTAATTTTAGCAATAGGAAATATTTTTTTTTAATTTTTAACTTTGGGAAATGTGCTTCGAATTCAATGTCAAAAGAATGAAACAAAAACTAAATTAAAAAAAAAAAGTAAATCTTATCAAATTTGCCCCCAAAAATCATCATGTACCATAAAAATAGATAGTTTTAGAATCTTTTTTATTAAGAAAACCCTTCATAGTTTTCAAAATTCTATCTTTTGTATTATATCATATATATTGTTATTCTATAGTTTACCCTTTAAAATTTATACGCAACAAATATTATGTTGTAATTTTATGATTACCAAGTAAAAAAAATTGAGTTTAGTAAACAATCTGGAGGCATTGAAGGCTTGCAATTGAAACGGAATGAGACGTTGAGTATTGAGGTCAGAATAAAAGATCGTCGCCGGGCACAGAAGATTTCCTGAATTATATATATCGGGTGACGCGAAAAAATTGTGTTTTGGACCTAGGATGGAAAGAACGAGACAACGAATGGAACATGGGACTTCGTTGATTTCAATTAAAGGTGAGTGTTTATTAATTTCTTATCTATAATTTCGATACCATTTTTAAATAGGTAAATAATTGTCAGAATTTGTCTGCCTGGAACAATTTCCCCTCTATAATAGCTTTGTTTATAATTATTTAATAATTGGTAATGTCAACCTAGTGAAAATTTTCAAATTAAACTCTAGAAAGATTCTTGTTATCCAATTGGGTCACAGTACTACTAGAAGAAAGAGGAAAACAACCAGTGCCGTCTCTTAAGAGTCAGGTCGCTTTGTGATAAGTTATATTACATATTCTGGGGCCAGAAAAAGTGTCAATTACTTACCTTTGTACAAAAGTGCAAACAAAAAAGTTAAGGGAGATTCACTTAAACATTTAAATAATTTTTTAACGTTGTTCTAAAACGCTTTGACATGAATTGGAGGGTTCAGAAGCCACTCAGTGTAAATCATAGTTTTGCTAAATCATAGTTTTGAAAAAATACCCGTGGTTAGTCCTTTGCGAGTGCACGAAAATTACAAAATTTCAAGTTTCTAGCATTACTGAAATTTTAGAAAAAAAAAAATAAAAGCTCAACTTTAGTCACCACGTTTTAAGGGTGATATCTCGGAAAGGGGTGGACTGAGGAAATTTTGTTATAGGAAAGACCCATCTTAATTTCATACGAGCAATAACCTCATGAATTTTGTTGCATAAATTTAGAAACACCCTGTATGTATTAAAATACTCGCTCTAAAAAACAATTTACTTCCATCTTTTTTGTCACAAGCTACATTTTTTAGGTAACCTTTATTCCGAAGGTAATACAAAATTAGACTGTGCAAAAGGGCATTATCATCAAAATCGAGATAATGTATAGAGAAAAAATTACTTATTTTGCTCTTATACACAATAAAGTCCTTGTAGTATTTTTTTATAATTATTTGAAAAAAATAATTTGTATTAGCCCTCAAATATAACTTTTATTATTGCAGATTGTAGGTATACTTTTTTGAATTTATAAAAAATAACCACATGTCCAACCTACGGCGTTATGCTCAAATTTCGTCTTAGTGTGGATATGACCATCACAATCCACAGTATTTTTTGGACCTGGTCCTTCTATCGGTAGTGATAAACCTAATTAAAGCACATTCCTTGTGATATTCAAGGAAAGATGGGATAAAACAATAAACTGCAGACTTGCCAGGGTGCTTTAATGTTATTCTGACAATACTATAGCTAACAAATACTTGACTGTGACTAGACAGAATCTACCCCTGTTTACAGGCATTCTGACTTTACATTTCCAAGTATGGAAGCTTCTTCATATCATGGAGCTATCATAATCCGTAATCTGCAGGTGGTGTGAACAAGAGAATGGTACCATTGAGCATATCCTTTATTATTATTATTATTATTATATTAGAAGATTTGTTTCCTGCGAGAATTGGCTAACACCTGTCGATATAAGAGAAGCACCTCTTGGCGACGTTGTCAACTACATTAAATCTGTAGGCTGGCTCACGAGCCAGAAGGTGTCTATCTACTTAAGAGAATACACAATGGGCATGGTGATGTCTTGGTGCTTTGGTTAATCCACCCTCCACATGCTACAGATACAGATCCACAGTGTCCACTTTGTTACACAACCTACTACTATCCTATTACATTCTTTCTACAATACAGAAGTATTATATTAATAAGATAATTAAAGTAGACATTTTTTGGTAATATCTGGATTGATTTTCACGCCACGAGACATAAAATTTTAAACTTTAATAATTTTTTCTTTGTTGCAACAAGACGATGATTTCTTGCGCATTGTGACAGGTTGCTTCAATTTGCTGCAACCATATTATATTCTCTTAATAATCTGGATGTATCTGACATAATGTGAGCACAATATACTAAAAAATTACCAAGCAATTTAAATGTTCTATTTTTTTGAGCCACCTGTTATTTAAAACGATCATTTTTTATTTAGAAGATCAAGCAATACAACCTTTAATATCTGCTACGTCAGCTACAACTCTTGACTGCAATATGGCAAAATCTCAAAAGGTATGCCCCTTATTCATATTCATACAAGGTGTTTTATAAAAAAATTTGGGTCAAAATACCTTTTTTTTATTTAAAAAACTCTCATTTATATTTAGGAATATCTTTCAACTATATAAATATATTTAAACTAAATTTAATACTCAATACAGTTTTTTAAACTTCAAGGTTACATAATTATTATAAAATCTTTTGATCCTTTTCTGGGCTTTACATCTAGGTATCTATTTTTGAATTCAAGGAAATATAACATCAGGTTTTTCCTCTTTATCTGCATCGCACAAAATTTGTATTTTTCTCTCATTTTCCCCCCAAAATTTCTACTCCCTGATATTCAAGAATAGATACCCTGGGTTATCAATTAAAAAAATGTATGAAACATCTAAGGTATATATCAATTAATATCTCTATTATTTTTTATATTAGACCGTTAATAACTATCTTATAATAATTACTTACATATTTATTTACATGTATTTTTGAATTTTTAGTCTACTTTTCGACCAAAAACTGTGAAAGACAAAGGAACGCGATAACAGTTGCAAAAATTACAAGATGTTTAATACCTCTCAACATTTATAACGAAAGCTCACAGTACCTATATATTAAAATACAATATTTTTGTAAGAATAAGAGAGTAAATATTTTTAAAAATATCCAACCTGTTTCTCTTGATTAACTCCATTTTAAGGACAGCTAGGGGTAAAGTATATTCTTTTAAAGCTTTAACTTTGTACACCCGCATCCTCAGCGGTTTACACCTTGCTAGGCCACGAGCCGCCACTGGTACAAATACAAAAAATACGAAAATTAAGGTTTTATTAACATATTTATATTTCGGCTAATAAAGTTTTACTTTACCCTATTCAGTTTTGCAAATTAATTACAATACAACAAACTTGTATTCCGTTAGCGATCGTAAAAAAAATCAATAAAAAGCAACAAATAAGTAAACAATAGATACATCAATGAATCATTAATATCTAATTGGAGTCCACGTGCCCGAATGTTCGTCTCTTCTGTAATAACGGGGACGATTGTCTCTGAAGACGGTCACAGCAGGAAACTGGTTTTCTTGAATATATTTCAGTGTGGCTCTGATCTAGAACAAACAATAGAGTTTTATAAATGATATATTAATCTTATGTACAATTCAGTTTTCAATGGTGCCTAAGAAACATTTTGTGTAGGGGAATAAAAGGCCCAATAACTGTTACTCTCCAGTGGTAATGATGGGCATTTAACTTTTATAATTAAAAGACCTGCATATATAGGTCACTATAGCTGACAGTCAGGCCGATGTTAATTTGCTGTCAAATTCAGTTAATAGATCTCCTTTACCCTTTAATATCTAGAAATTGAAGGTCTTTTACCATATTAATAGAGGCTGTTGAATAAAGGCCATGTGTCAGGCACTTATTTTTGATTATATTTTATCTCAATACCACTGACAGTTTGACAGAATTATCAGTGTAATTTGATATAAAAAAATGTCACCCAGATAATAATGTTACGAATTAATATAACACCCTGTGAATAGGTATGTTATGATTTGTAAAGTTTTGTCCAAGGGCAGGCGCGCTAAACATATATTCAATAAAATAATAAAACGTGTAGTTGGACAAGGTTTTATTAAATCATAATATTGAAGTACAGGGTCAAGAAAGATCAACAAGAGCATCCTTAAAACATTACCAGTAAATTTTCGGGAGTTCTTTTTGGTCTTTGTTGACGAGCGGTCGAAATTATTCGAATTAAGTGAATTTCTTTTTTGTGTCCGAAAGTAGAATTACGGGTCGCGTTTAGTTTTTTTTGGTAAAACCATAGTGATGAAAGTAACGTATGCCAGTATTGCAGCCCAACAGATAGAGCACAATGCTTATGTAAGTAAATAGTTTTAAGTAGTTATATTTAGTTCTTGTGTAGTCAGTAAAGACTACGTGATTGCGAAAGCAATATTAGTTGTTTTTATTTGTTAAATAAATCACAGTTATTTGTTTTACGCCTGTTTCAATTTTCTTTGGTTTATGGAAACTTACGATCATTCAAAGGCGGGGGTATTGGCTTAGTCAGATTTCTGAGAGAGGGAGATACTGCCAAAGGTAAGAGTTCCTGTAGGGAAACCCTTTCCCTCTGAATCATCGTCAGGAAGTTAGGGTTCCTTCTGAACTTAACCCCCCTAGCCGTGTGTTATCTAGAGGCCAATTTAAATACAAATTGGGCCCCTCTATATAATTCGTGGTTACCGCTAAGAGTGAACTTAAGGGTAAGTCAAAAAAGGCCTATAATCTCACTCTTAACCATAAATTTAATATAAGCTGTAATTGATATAAACTTATATCCGTTCAGTAGACTGACATCGCCTACTTATTCGTTGTGTAACTTGCGCATAAAGTGGCTAATAAACATGTGGGTAAAAAAAATATACCTGCATTACAAAATGGGGTGGTTCAACTTCTGGCGAAGTGGACAAATGCTGTAGGATAAAGTCGTCAGTTTGTTCTAACCATAAGTCAACGCCTCTCAGTGGTTCATAATTGAACGGACCTATTCTTAATAGTCCTAAAACACAGTCGTATATATCGAGAACCTAAAAATTAAACAATAAAAAGAAATATAGTAAGGTCATATAAATATTATGTATATTATGTATAAGTAGTTTTTTTAACACCATATGTGAAATATCCTTTAGAAATTTAAATTGGTTTGTACATTAACAATTGTCATTTTAATCTTCGTTTAGTAATTTAAACTTCGTTTAACCAAAGAGTACAAAATATAACTATAAAAGAGAAGTCACTCGCGGCATTTACAAAGGAAATCGCGCTTCAAGTACGGGCCGACAAGTCGGCGTTTTTTCAAAGAGTACAGAGCTAATTGGGCTATACCGGGGTTAAGCGGTAAGACGCGGCGGCGATGATAGTGGAATGTAACGGCCAATATACATCGGAATCTAACGTAGCGGAGCAAACGAGCATTACGCGTTGAACTACACCAGTATACTGCCGATCGAGAAAGGACTGTGGAGGACTGGCGGCTGATCGCGTTAGACGGCGGCAATTGGGCGAGTGACTCCTCTTTTATAGTTATATTTTGTACTCTTTGGTTTAACACAACGGTGGAATCGGCTCTTAGTTATTCGTATGTTGTAAACTACGCATATTTACTCATTTTGGTTTAAAAGTAAATCCATATTGCTACTCGAAAGTCAGAGATGGACCATCTCCAATAGTCAACAGCTCGTATAAAAAGCCCCACTTTTTATTTTTATTTTTTTCAAAATTAAAAACGTCTTACTGTATTGTTTTGTATTTATCTTTATCATTCTATGAACAAGTTTGTAAATAAAATAACAATTTTGACAGATCTCAATCCTCCCAAACACTTATTCAAAACCAATAACGTCTAAAATAAGTTTGCATGCGTTATTATCGATATTAATATCACAAACGGGGCTACATAATAATTAATAAAAACACTTCACCTGTGGCACTCCAGTGAGATGTCTGGCACATCTTAACGAATGATCTGGACCTTTATCCGGAAAAGTAGCGGGAAAGATTTCGCCGGTTTTCACGTTAACGCCAACCCCGTAAATTATGGGCCAATGAATTCCACCTCTAATAGTCGTATTCAATTCTCCCGTACATGCCAGAGTTAGGTCGATTTCAATCGGATGCTTGTGGAATGAATCTGAAATAGTAATTGTTCAATAAATAATGTACAATTTAATAGATTGCAAATCCTCTCTTAGAAAATGTTGTTAAACATATACAAAATATTAAATATTTATGTTACTAGAGATAGAGAGGGAATTTTATTATTGAATCTAAAAGTTTTTACAGCTGCCAGTCTAGATTAGATTAGGAGTTGGACGTTATTTGTCCTTGTCCACCGCGATCTTTTCAGTTTTGGTTGCCTACGCCACTGCGCCATAGGTTATCATAGGTCTTATTACCCTTGTTTATAACCGTATGGTTATTTTGGGGTTTAAACCCCAGTTTTTCCCAGTCTACCAGAGGATGTATAAACTGGTTATTATTTTCACACAAAACGAAACAGATTCATCATTGCCAGAGTTAGGACAGAGTATTTAAAATAATGTATCATTTAAAATATTACAGAAAGATTCAATTTGAGCAAAATAGTGATATCTACTTTTGTTGACATCTTATCTTGTGGCTTTGAGGAATGTCTAAAGTCTAAAAAACACGGTATTGCCAGATCAGTTAACACATATGAACCAGGTGTTCCAGGCTAACAAATTTATCTAGAGCTATGGCGGGTTGCTTCACAATCTGCAAAAAATTTTTAACATCTTCTGGTTTCGCTTTGATACCTCGGCTACGCTGTACGGCTAAACATATACAGCTCGGCTTTCTTTCAAAAGATTCTACGGGGTTGTCTTTTTTATCTGGATGTTTGCTATTTAAATGTCAAAGTAACTTTGATGGCTTCACGCTTTTGACAAGACTTCTCCACAAATAATACATTGTGGTTGATTGAAAATAACGTAAAACCATATTTAACTTGTTCTTTAATGTAAAGTTTTTTTTATATTACTAACACTTTCAGACGTAGATGGTTCTAAAATTCTTTTTAAAAACGTATCCATACCTGTTTATTTTGTGTCATACTGTATTACTATTATTAGTGTATTACTGCAGTAAAAATTTTTTTCAACTCTTCTAATTAAAAGTTACTTCTAAATTTTTTGATTGATATCCTTGTAATCATTAGTCTTCAGACCCTAAATGTTAAAATTTGTTACCTCCGCTATTAAATCTAGTCTAATGAGAATTATCCCAAATTAATTTCTACTACAATATCCCTTTTCGTAATATAGGGGCTAGAAGATTTCAGTAATTAAATACTAAGAGAAAATTAGAATTAAGAAGTTATCCATTCTTATTTTCTATAAATTTTTAAGACTTCAAAAGAGGAGAAGGTTCTCAATTCATCGGTATATTTTTTTTATGTATGTTGAGCGATAATTCTTTACCACCTTGTCCGATTTATATGATTCTTTTTTATTAGTAAGGGAGTACCTCAGGGGTGGTCCCATATAAATTTGGTCAAAATCTAAAAATTGAGTCCATGATAAAAATCCTCAAACTCTTCATTTTTTATACAGGGTTTGGAGGTCGATGCAACGTCTTGGGGAGGTGATAGGGGAGGTCATTTTGACTTAATTAAGCCAAACACACCTTAGAACAAAGTCTTACGGTTTTCGAACATTTTGGATTTCTTTAAAAAAATGCATTTTTTATATTTGTCTTCTCTTATCTGTAAAATGAAAGATGACAACTTGAAAATTATTTTTTTTTAATAGCAGAACGTGTGTCTTTTTTGAAAATGTAAGGAACAGAAAGTCGAACGGACTACAAAAAGGAGAAAAATGTGAAAAAAAAAGCATTTTTTTAAAGACATTTAAAATCTCGAAAACTGTAAGACTTTGTACTAAGGTATGTTTGGCTTAATTAGGTCTAAATGACCTCCCCTATCACCTCTCCAAGACTTTGCATCGAACTTCCAAACACCTTGTATATGTTTACCGATAATTCTTTACCACTTTGTTCGATTTCTATGATTCTTTTTTTGTTAGTAAGGGGGTACCTCAGGGGTGGTAAAATTACTTTTATTACTTGTAACCCTTCAAATAAACATATAGATTTTATATTTCATGTCATTTGTTTTTTTTTGCTTTGATACTTACTTATGACGTTAAAAAATATTTCATCAGAATAATGTCGTGGATCATTGAATCCTCCTATTAATTGAAGCTCTATTCGTCCTTCAGGATATCCTAAAGCTAGCTCCTGGACTCGCTGAACCATTGTACAAACTGCTTCATCAGTTCCGGATCCATCCAAGTGAGCCATAGCTACAGCACCAGAACCTAAAATATATATATTATTTTTTAATCTGTAAAATAAGAATTAACATTCTTATCAATGGTTATATTAAAAACCTATAATTGTAAAATAATTAATACTATAGTTTATTTGAAAATGAAGACAGCAAATTTTTTTATGACCCAGGAAATAAACCCCAATATAACATCATAAATTACATCTAAATTAAAATGTTTACCATTATTTGGTTTTCTTCCTAATTTCAATAATCCTGTATATAGATGGTTGTCATAAAAACTGCTATCATACATTTTCAAATAATTTATAAGAGATGGAACTTTATTAAGTATATTCTAGACTAATAAAGAACAGTAATTTGTAATTTAAAATTTTTAAAATGATGTTACTAATATGTATAATGATAATGACTCTAATGTCAAATTTTAAGGTTTGCAATGGAATTTATTTGCCTCTAATTACATTGTCACTATTAGTGGCTGACGTTATAGAAATTTGCAATATCTCTATACTGTTTAGGATTTCGGATAAGCCCATACATTACCAACAAATTAAATAATATATTGCCATTTGACAACTTTTTTTTATGTAACTTTTTAATGATTACCCACAAAGATTTAGCCATTATATAAAATAATCTTTAATAAATTTAAATTATAAATATAAACAAATTTGGTGATTGCACTATCATGTTATGTTATTATTAACCAAATAAATTGGAAAATAAAATAAATCTACCTAAATGAAAATGGTACAACATGTAAACAACATGAAATAACTTGAAATGAAGCTATAAATGTGAATTATAAAGAAACTTAAATAACATCATGATTCATGAATGTTTGAACATCGAGGCCATCAAACTCCGTGACAATCAGAAACTCACCAGTGGGTCAATTCTCGACTTGTAGGAACCTTTTCCTATAGGAATTTGTGACACTTTCCTATATGTAGGAGACTGTCATAAATTTTCGATGTATATAAAAATGTCAAAAATTCCTATAGGAAAATATTCCTACGAGTCGAGAATCGACCCCCAGAAGGCTTTAAAAGGATGAAACTCTTCTTAAAGTAGAGCACAGTTAGTTATCATAATTATGTGGATAAGTTGAAATCATATAAAACGAGGTGTTTTGCTAAATAGCTATTTATTTGAATAAACTAGGATTATTTTTATTGGCTATTCAAATTAGTTTTTCTCGTTCTTATCGATGATTTGATTACGGTTTAATTAGTCTACTTGCAATTATAATATTATACACAGTGACGTAGCCAGACATTTTTTATGGGAGGGTTCCTGAGAACAAACAGTTAATAACGTTCAGCGTCAGTAAGAAAGCGAAGGTCCTTCATGGGGTGGTCTTGACTCCTTCGTGGCTACACTGATTATGCAATGGACTGTATTGATATTTTTTATAGTTTTATCTTTTTATGGATATTTATTATTGTTTCAGGGTTGAATGTAATGTATAATAAGTTCAGTTTTTGTGGTTTATGATTTTATTAGTAATTGTTTACATTCTGAATGAAAAAAAAAATATTAAACGCCGGTAATTTTTCACCAGATGTCTTTACTTGACAGATCAGCTTTATTTGAAAATACCTCGTATTATATTTGAAATTTCTGATTGTTTATCAATAATTATAACTAACTACTTGTTATAGAAGTTACAAACTGCATTTATATCTAGAACGCGCAGAATAAGACTAAATATATCGACCGCATCTTACTTGCTCGGCTATAAACCATCGTTGAAACAAGAGGAAAAAAAAATAAACACGTAAGAACATAATCAACCTGATTAATTGAAAATATACTGCGAAACGTGCAGTAATATCCAAGCTGGGCGATGAAGACAGAAAAAAAACCCGTCGTATATTAATAGGTTATTATGCACCTGATATATGCCCCATAGAGCATGAGATCTAACATTTGCGGAAGTACGTTAATTTTCTATTTCGAAAAAAGTATTAATTGGATATTTGAACTCTGCGAGGCACACCTATTTTGTAAGGCGGTAAAGTACGGAATGTGTTAAATTGAGAGGAATATTATGCAAATTAGAATTTTGAAATTAAATAGCTTCAGAAGAGAACGAACCATAAAAATGGTACTTATCTGATTTTAATATAATTTAATTGCTTGAATTCCTCAGATATTAAGTGAAATGTTTTTATCCAGGTATTCTACAAACATTCGTATTTGTTCGTCTTTGACGATTAATTTGTTGATTGCCTAATTTTGTTTTAGTAATTAAAACAATATTTGGTCACGTTAAAGCACTGGAAGTATTTAGGGGAAATGGGGGGCGTTAAGAGCTGAAACGAATCCTCAAAAAAAGATTCGAATCACGGATCCTATGTCCGAATCCTTTTTACAAAAAAAAAAAGGATTCGAAATAAGTGTTTCGGATCACGAATACGTATTGTTCTATATTTATGCGTTTTTAATTAATACTTTAATAATTACTATATATGAAGTTAAAGACGACGTACTACGAGCTTCGTACAGTATTTGCTAAATGAAGAAAACCATATTATTGGGGAAGATTTAATTTTATCGGCAGTGAACGAGGTCATAACCTTTGTGCTACACAAACATTATTCGAAAAATTCATCTCAGCAATAGTTGTGTAAAGACGAATTGATGATATGGCTAAAGACCTAGAAGACTCATTATGTAATTATCTGAAGACATACAAATTTTCATTTTACCAAATATTGTTGGCATATGTGAGGTTTTATCAAAAATAAGAAAATATGTCAAGAATTATTATTTGCCAAAAACTTAGAAACAGATACAAAAGGAGAATCCATATTTAAGACACTGAAAAATTTTTGTGACGAAATGAAAATTCTTTTAATCCTTCTAAGACCGGGATACACAGTCTTTATAGCATAAATGAAGTTCCAGATGTGACTGCTATCCACTGTCATTCATTATCAGCATACTTCACTGCAATATATGTCATCAAAGCAGCTCATTGAATGACAGATTATTTAGTCAGTTTTACATTCCCAACGATGAAGACTCCAATCGTTTGGTTATCAAGAAGTACTTGTTTGACTCGCTTTTATAATCTGTTTGATTCTGTGATAGAGACAGGGAATTACGTGATAACCTCATCACATCAAAGCTTGATTTTGCCTACTTGACAGGCCAAAAATACAGCAATCCGAGCAGAATAACTATTCAATTATTGTACAATTTAGGTACTAGGAATAAATTACTGTACTCCTGTCTATTAATAAGATGAATTTAATAATTAAAATGACAATTAGTAATCCACATACCGCTAGTTTTTAAACAATAATAATAATAACATACAAATACTCCTGTATTAGAGAAATTCGCAATGACATCCGCATCAACGCTAATCGACCAGACATTGTAGTCTTTGATAAATTAAAGAAGGAAGTAGCAATAATAGATGTAGCAGTACCCCTCAGTCATAATATCCAAACCACATATGCTACAAAAATAAATATCTCGAACTTGCTACGGAAATCAAACAAATGTGGAGGGCGAATATAGTTAAAATACACCCACTAGTAATATCTGCAACTGGAATTGTGCCAATTATACTTACAAAACATCTAAAACAACTAAATGTAAAACATATCTCAACACAAATAAATAAATCTGTGGTGCTTGGCATGTGTCATATTGTCCGATGATTTCTTGGCTCACAGACAAATTAGCCGAATCCAAGCATATACTATTGATGCACCAGTACCCCAGAATACTGCAAAAATAACCCAGGTTAACCTGAGATAATTCTCTCAAATAATAATAATAATAATAATAATTTATCTTCCACGTCATCAAGAGGGCAGAGGTCTTCTGAGTCTGGAGAGGTTGCATGATAGATTAACTGTGAGTTTGGCTTGCAAGATAGCCAATAGTGTGCACCCACTACTGCAGCTGCTTCGAGACCATGAAACAACTGGTATCGAGGCTTTTCTTTTTAAGGCTGCAGGTAAAGCTGCGGATGAACTAGGTCTCAGATTTGAAATAGATGACAACCAATCTCTTACAAGGTTGGAACCCGCTCAAGTAAAACGTAAACGTAAAACATAGAAGATCTTAATCTATCTTAGGAATTAACTTTCTCCTTTCTTCGATCAGCTGACCTGAAGTCTCAGACAGGGGGATTCTTGTTGGCTTGCCAGGATGGCGTAATTAATACTCTCGTATACCGCGCTCAATTTACGCATGTGGCGGATGTCAAATGCAGAACATGCCAACGATATCCGGAGACATTAATACATCTTTTGCCCGGTGCAAGCTGTGTCTGGGTACATACATCTACAGGCACAACGTTGCATTGCGAGTTCTGTACTATCATCTGAGACATCACTACGGTATAGATGAGACACCAGTTCTGCCATACGCCTCAGACGAAATTGAAACGGTAGTGGAAATATAAGTTGCCGTATTTATTGAAATTAGCTTTTCCCACAATAACCAGACTCCAAGCTAACAAGCCCGATTTGGTGCTATTAGACAAGCAGAGTCATTTAATGTTTGTCATTGAGTTTTCTACATTCCACTTATTGGCGAGTTGCGAAGAATGCATCCAGAATGTATTGTGTTGTCCTAATTGTGAGTGTTTTAGGGGGGGAATCAAGGACACTATGCTCAAGGAGCTACAAAAAATACCGGCTTGCCGAGACTCATCAAAACAACTAGTGGTGAAGATGCAGAAAGCGGCCTTTCGCGTAATGTACTGGGTGTGTCGGAGCCCCAGGAACATTGCGACATATTTTTTACACAATAATAATAATAATATAATATTTCTGTTAAAACTATGCATATTTTCGTCATTTGTAGTAAATATAAATATGCATATTATTTCAATTTTGTTGCATATAAATAAGTATTCTTCGTATTTTTTTTACTATGTAAGTAATATGACTATCCCATTTTAAATGTACACACCTAAATATTTAATTACTTTTACAGATAGTATTCTAATTATTGTGTTTTCGCAGGTAAGAACTTCTAAAGTTTCATGAGAAGAAGTACCTACAATGTTGCAGCTAAAAGGTAAGAAGTTCGTTTTTTTCAAAATTTATAGTTAGAATTTTCAATATGAAGAAAATCTAACACTATTTTATTTTTAAGATCATGTCAACTGTCTACCCCGTAAAAAACTGCAGTGTAGTCTGCATAAACATTAATATTCCCTGTCTGTATTATTTGAATAAATAAGTCATTTATATAAAGATTGAATAATAAGGGGCGCAAAACAGTACCTTAGGTTACACCGCATTTTTTTTCTATTCTTAAGGTAATTTTGAAATAAATTTAAACAGAAGGCCAATGATCAACAGTATAAAATGCTTTACTCACATATATGAAGTTTTTTTTCGAAATAAGGTTGTATTTATTAACAAAGCTAAATAGTTATCTTTTAAAAACGTTTTCAAAAATGTTTGAAAGGTGTATAATTAGGGATATGGGTCTGTAATTATTTACTAGTGCCCAGTCGTCTTTTTTGTTTACCAAATACTTCATTTTTCTATGAATTGGATCAACGACATTTATAGTTAGAAACACCTGGTTTATTTTTCCACGAATATCAAATAATAGTAGAACTATATTTTTACTGTAGACTCGACGCTCTTACATTAACGATTTTGCTGCACGTACTTGGTCCACGAAGAAATTACAGACGCAAAGGAATAACAGGTGTTACAAAATCCTTTAATGATAGACCAGAGGTGAGCGCAATGTAAAGAAATTACAATAAAATTTAATAGCAATTTCATTTCACATACCAATATAATAATGATAACAAAATGGAATATCCAATCAGGTATTTTTTCTCGTAGAATTCTACGTGCCGAGCAAAGATTTGCAACTACTAATTTTCTTCGCCGTACTCTGTAATTATTAGAGGTGTAACCGCATATTAAGGTTTAAAACTTTATCGTTAAATTATCGATATTTTTATTTGGACATCGGCATGTCGACAAAATTTGATTGAGATGTTTCACGTATACAAAAATAATATTACTTGTCGGTATTTTTTTATATTTTGTAAGAGCGAGCTAAATATTTTATTACAATTTTAAGGCAAAGAAATATATCTAAAAATTATGATCTTAAATGACGAAGCAAAGGTCTAAATATATTCCTATAATTCTCCTAAAGTTAAACTACCATATTTTCAGAAATATTCATAAAAATAATATAGAAAACCAATATAAATGGAATTTTTTAAGCAGAAATTGAAACCCTGTGCACAAAACGCGACTCTGCGCAAGACATCGTAGAATAGTGTGTCTATAAGCATGCGCAGACATGTTTACCATGTGCTTACCTAGATTTACTATTCGCTTGGCAACACCGCTCAAATCGGAAGATCCTTTACAGGACCGTTTCCTTATTTACAATCTTTCAGTTTCTAGAACGCGTCTATTTGTGATATTATTTAATTAATTTAGTTTAAATAAATGGTCAGCTAAATGTACTGAAACCTCTTTTTACGAACATAGTTTCTCATTTTGATTTACAAATTAAACTCTTTTACTAAATTTTGAATACCCGAGTCTGTGAAATATTGGAGTTTTAATTAGGTATTCAGTAGCGTAGCGTGGGCCAAACGGGGGAGGGGGCGAAGCTTTTCTGTGTAGCACAAACTTCTGGGGGGGGGGGCAAAGCTGCTCTAAATCCTCGTTGTCCCACTTAGTCCCCTATACGCTACGCCACTGTTAGGTATCTCACAATGTAACTAACTTGATCAAAATTAATTTTGGCAAAAATCTTACAAAACTGTGCAGGAAACTATACAATTTTTAATAAAAATAATCTAGATATTTTAATTCGTAGCCATTTTTGAATCGATAAATAATAATTTACATACAAATTTCAAATTCATTAATAAACAATTTTATTCTTTGCTATTGGAGAAAGGCAGACAAACATCCATTATAAATTGCTCATAAAAAATTAAATCAATTCTTCTGTTTTGAATTGTAAATTTCGTGTATTTATCTGTATTTTATAGCATAAGAAATAAATTTTCTTTATTACAATCTTGTCACCGAAAACTGTGGGAATTGGAAAATAACGGAAAGTTTGCTCGTTGTTTATGTTTATTTGGAGTATAATGAACTGTGTCAACAGGATTTAGTAAAATAAATTAAATTTTTAAATGTGATTCAGATCCGATGTTGCACAATGATTCAATCCCATATTTAATTCAATGATATAATTAATTATTTGGAAACTGAATCATAATCAATCAAATTGTATTTGTGGAAATATTTTCACCATTTGAATTAAAAGAGTCTCATTAGATAAATATTCTACTTAAACCTCTAATAATTCTATAGAGTTGAAAACAATTCATGCATATTTTAATGGCTACTTTCTGCAAATCTTCATAAACACTATACTACCTAAATTAGCTAAAGACCATATAGTTTCAAACTCAAGGAATTATAAATACCATTCCCATTATAAGAGAAACAGCTCGGAGTTATTACCATTAATTAAATGTCCACTTACCAGAATGGCGTACAACCACTATCAAGCAGGTGGTAACATCATCTGCTCCAAGAATGCTGACATTCTCTAAAAATAAAAAAGACCATTTTTATTGTTATTAGACGAAAATTAAACAGTCTATAGAACATGGTAGGGTATTTAAAATTATGTTGCAAAACTTGTATGATTTACATTAAAAAAAGTATAAATTAATTGGATTAGGTAAATATATAAAGAATGGTAGATAACTTTTTATTATTAAATTGTTTTAATGAAGTTTATATTATAAAGTTATGTCAAATAAACAGAATTTGCAATTTTTTCTAATATATACTCGCTTTAAACCCAGTAAATAAACAATCAAATTTCATTTGTTCTTTCTTCTTTATTAATAGCAGCAGAATATTGTAATATAAAAAACATACTTACTATCATGGGGTACAGTAGCAGCCAACTCCCTCTGTTGGACGTAGAGTAGTCCCACAGTGCCTATAATTTTATTAGGAACATTTAATAATTGTGCTGCAGTTTCTCTGTAGATAGGATGAGTGTGATACAATGACCTGGAATCGGGTGGACAATCTTCCTGTAAAACTCCATTTAATACTAAAACCATTTTGATTCTGAAACAAGGAATTGCCGATTAGAATGGTAATAATTTAACAAACAAACAAAATAACAAGAACCAATTAATGGTATTATATTAAATATTATTCGTGGAATACTGACTGTATTTAGTCATTGATAAGTAGTAGAAAAACGTCAGGACTGTATGACAGAATTCCTTTCATTAAACAAATTATGCAAATAAAATGTTTGTGTGCCTCTTTTGATATTTATTTTAAACAATTTTTAACATATGTAATTTAAAAATAATTACCACAAGTCAATGAATAATTTTTTTCTGGTTAATCGAATCGGTTTGCATTTAGTTTTTTTAAGGTTAAGCGGTTTTACTGTAATTTTCATTTCATGAATAAATTTGAAAACGTGTTTTTCAAAAATGATACAAATATGAAAATATATATTCGTAGTCATCTCAAAACTATAGATGACATTAATAAACAAACAAATATTCAGTGGAATTCTAGGACTTCTAAACTAACAAGACTAAAAAATCCATTTATTAAGGTAAATAAAAGGATAGAACTTTAATTAATTTTTTCTCAGTTTGAATTTTTGTAATTTGGTATTATTTTAGGATAATTAGGATATATACTAAACAGCTGATACATTTTGATTTCTTCAAGCAAAGCCATATGTAAATGATTTGTTTTTCGAATATTTCAATGATAGTATGACAATAATAGAAGCAAAAAAATTCATGAACACCAGTATGGATTTGATGAGAATACCGTATTGATTTTAACCAGTGGAAGTAAAAATCCTACTTACAGAACGGTGCACAATTGGTATCATTCATGGAGAAATTTAAACTTGGGACCAAGGACAGGAGAAGGATTAATCAAGGTAAGTCTTTCACCTTTTAGGAAACGTTTAATACTGAATTTGTTTATTGAGTAGGGACGATTCAGTATGAGCAATGAAAAGTAAGGTATCGATACTGTTCCAAAGTACTTTTAAATATAATTGGTTTTATTTAAATTAAATTTAATAACAATGGATGTTTACAAATGTTTTTAAAAATTATAAGCACCTGTATGTGCAAAAAGTAATGGCAGTAAAATTATAAATTATACATATTTCATTAGTGCTTCGGCATGCTAATTACCAATATAAAATATAGAGTAAGATAAATTAAAAAAAACAGACTTATATACACATTTATATATTTACAAAAACAGAATAAAAAGAATGATCTCTAGCACGTCTCCTGTCACTAACCTTGAGATACTCATGTGACCTGGCCTAATGTCAAGTTTGAACACATGATGAAAATTGTATTACTTTTAGTTTTTATATTTTTTATCCCTTTTTATCATTTTTTATCTTTTTATACCTTTTAATAATTTTTAATATCCCTTAATATCTCTTAATTTCTCTTAATATCTCTTAAAATATCTTAAAATATCTTAAAATCTCTTAAAAACTCTTAAAATCTTTTAAACATCTCTTAAAATCTTTTAAAGTCTTAAAATCTCTTAATATCTCTTAATATCTCTTAATATCTCTTAATATCTCTTAATATCTCTTAATATCTCTTAATATCTCTTAATATCTCTTAATATCTCTTAATATCTCTTAATATCTCTTAATATCTCTTAATATCTCTTAATATCTCTTAATATCTCTTAATATCTCTTAATATCTCTTAATATCTCTTAATATCTCTTAATATCTCTTAATATCTCTTAATATCTCTTAATATCTCTTAATATCTCTTAATATCTCTTAATATCTCTTAATATCTCTTAATATCTCTTAATATCTCTTAATATCTCTTAATATCTCTTAATATCTCTTAATATCTCTTAATATCTCTTAATATCTCTTAATATCTCTTAATATCTCTTAATATCTCTTAATATCTCTTAATATCTTTTAATACATCTTAATATCTTTTAATATCTTTCTTTTATAGCTTTTCACCTTTTCATATATTTTTATACCTTTTTGTACTTGTAATATACATATTTTTTATCTATTTATTTAAATAAAATTTTCACTCTGTTAACTGAAGCCTAATTATAATTTTAGAAATCACCTTCTTTGATATTAGTTTTAAAACGATTATTTTATAAATTTAATGGACATAATGATTAATTAATAAATAAAGAAAAAATAATAAAAAATGTCTAGCGGTATTTATCAATACATTTCGAATGAAAAATATTCGTTGTTAAAATTAACAAATTGTTTCTCATTAATGGATGTAAAATTTACAGAATCAAAATTTGTTTGTGCATGTTTAGTAATCATCTGCTTTCTTCAGGTTTTCGAATTTCGTGTGCTTCTAGCGAAAGCAATAAATAATTAATACAATCAATTTGTTTTACTGCTGTGAACCTGTCACAAAACGAAAAATTATGCTTTATTTTCATAACCTAAAATACGGATAAGTTTTATTTTTATTAATTACACATATTATTAAATAAATACAATGAATTTTAATATTTTATTATGTATTACTTTGAGTGCACTGTTCGGTATTCTATAATCAAACATGGACCAAGAATAGATCCATAAAAATAGAGTTCATTATAGAGTGTCAAAAATCATATTAGTCATTACAGCTATTAAAGACGTAGCAGACTTCTATGTGTAACACATCAATTAAATGTCATAGACCCATGGATGTAGAACTTACAAGATCTTGATAATAGTCAATATTTTAATATCAATTTGATAAGACAGCTAAAGCTCTAATCAAATTATTAATGCCAAAATTATGTAGAATCAAATTGTAAAATATTCCAGAAATTTAGCAACAACTAAAATAGCCGAATTTTAATCAATATCGTGTTATATTTGGAATGACTATTTCACTAGACCAAATATCGACTATTTCTCTAGACAAATAGTCGCTGGTATTTGCTCTAGAGAATAGTCATTAAAAATTTCTAGCAACTATCCAAAAAATGTCAACATTAAGAAAGACAAAAAGCTACAAACATAAATCTTGCGACCATCCATCGGTCATCGGTCCAAAGCTTTTCATAGATGCGTTCCTCAATTTAAATCCGCAATAAATCGCCCTCCTCCGTAGTGTAGTACACACGGCGGGTCTAAACCAAGCGAATGTACGGTGCGTTGTTCATAAACCATAATCCACCTGAGAAATATCACGGGCCAGGTCCGCATCGCCGGACACTCCATTTATCAATACCGACGGGCATGAATAAATTAACATTGTCTTAGAATGAACTGCAGGATTAAATGGCATTAAGTGATTTATCATAAAACGCCGGGAGAAAATCCAATATCCGCCTTTTATATAGCTCGTCAATGTATCACTGGTCACTGGAGATAAGCTATTTGCTAACTTCCCGGTGAGAATCTAAGTATTTTGTATCATTTTCCATGCTATGAATTTTAATAAAGTTAATTGGATTTCTAATAAATTACATAAGGTGGTCACAGGACAAGTAGGCACACATTCAAGTTGAGCAAAGGTATAAAACAAGGAAACAGTCTTGTAGTAAGTGATAAAACATGTAAACGTTTGTTTCTATTAACGAAAATCATAGTTCTGAACTTTTTTTTGCATCTGCGCATGTTCAATCATCCCTGAACTCGACGAGAGTAGGTATATCGTTCTACATGATCTTTTTTACCCCCCAAAGCAAAAAGTTGTAAGTTTAACATGTATATCTCTGGCATTGTAGTCCTCAAACGGATGAACCTAATTTTGATTTAGTTTTTTTTATTTATTTATTTATTTATTTAAAACGTGACTTGATCGAAAGTATTCATAGATACGATTCAAGAACATCTATTTAACCGTTTGAAGATCATCAGCTCTTTTCTAGTTGATGAGGGAATGAAAGGAAGAACCTGCAGGATTATTCTACTAAATTTATAGCCCGGCTACAAGTTGGATTTTGGCTTGAACTTTATATGTTCCTAACTTCAAAATCCAACTTGTAGCCGGGCTATAAACTTTTAGCCGGGCTATAAATTTAGTAGAATAACCCTGCTGGAACCTCCGAGTATAGCCCTGAGCGTTTCTACCAATTGTACTACCGAAGAACATAGCTACGACAGTCGAATTTGTAAATTTGAAGTTATCAAATTAAGATTTTTGGCATTTGAAAGATTTTCAGAGGATTATCCTGGAAAACATTCCTGGTGTATTTAGACGAAATCAGAGTCTTGGGGAAGACATTTGATGAACTTCTAAAGATCTTTTTAAAAGAGAATAAGTTCTGCTGGGACGAAGACTGTCAAACTGCCTTAGAAACCTTAAAGAAGCATTTAATCAAAGCGTTAAATAAATTAATTAGTAATTATAAATAAATAAATAAACGAATATTACACTATTTTCTCATCTTTCTTTGTCAAAATAAAATTATTGGTAAGTTTGGAAAAAATAGAAAACAAATATATTGAATTTTAGGTCTATAATGAAATTTGTAATGGGGAGGTTTTTAAATTAAGAAATTTTAATATTCAATGGGTTTATGTTTATATTTTTTAAATAAAACAAATTTTATTCTTACGTAATAACTTTCTTAGACATAATCTATATTTATCATAAAACCATGTCAATAAAACAATCATTTTGTTTCATAAATCAGATAATTCGGTTGTTTCTTTATAAATTAGAACAAGAGTCGTTTATAAAGTTATTAAGTTGACAATAAGATATTTTCTTCTTTTATTATCTAGAGATTATTCATAAATAAAACGATAAAATGAAATGAACGTTATATTTCAAAATAGAAGCTTTGTTTTAATTTCTCTAGAACTGAGTATATCAATCATTTGATAAAACGATATTCTGAAGCACTACAATGATGATCTGATCAGTAATTTTAAATATGGAGGAAATAGGATTTAAATTCAAATAATAATAATTCTATATAAACAAAAATTTCCTAGGTTTAATCAGTCATTCTTTTTATTTTCAAATGTTTAGCACTACATATGTTTCGGAAATTTATTTTTTTCTATCTTTTCGAAACATGTAGTGCTAAACATTTGAAAATAAGAAGAATGACAG